CTAGGAACTAAGTTTTAATATCCAATATCCATAGGAGATAAGAGTGCTTGCTGCCCTTGCAGAGGACCAGGATTTGGTTTTCGTGCACAGAGCTGCTAAGAACCATCTATAGCTCCGGTTCCAGGGGAATCTGACTCCTCTCCTAGCTTTTTCCGGCTGCATCACGTGCACATGGTGTGCAAACACACGCGCAGGCAAATGCTCACACACACACACACACACACACACACACACACACACACACACACACACAAATTAAGAATGAATACATCTTAAAAGGTGAAACCCATAAGCAGAGTAGAAGTCAGTCTCCATGTCCAGATGGTTGGGCCATGCTCTAGGAACAGGACCCTTCTTTTCACAGTAGCAACCGTAGATCTAAATCACCACTCTGTTCTGCTGCTTTCCCTCACGGTCCTCTTTGATCATGACTTCACACAACGAAAAGATACTTCCTTGTGCCAAGCAAGCGGTTAGCTTCTCATAACCCTGGACAACAAAGGCCCCTCTGTGAGGACTAGGAATTCCTCTTGGAATACAAGGAAGGCCCCCAGCTGAACCGTATCCAAGGAAGATGTTGCAAAGCTTGCAAAGCTTGTTGGGAGAAGGGAGCCCTGCGTGAGATCTTTTCTTTCCCTTCAGATTATGGCCGGTGCTTAGGGTTGGGGGTGGGAGGCCATCAAAGGAAAGCAGAGACCCAACCCGAATGTGTTTGCCAATTACAAGGAAAAGCGCCGGTGCCAACTGCGGCTTATCATGTTCAGAATTTAATGCCTTTTGGAAAGAAATCGGTTTCCCTCTGGTGAAGAGAACAGAAGGTTATAGAAAAAGACCATCCACTTTGTGATACAAACTGAGGAAAAAAAAAAAAAAAACAACTTACAATTAAGCAGCGGCTGGCTCAATTCCCCTCTGTCATGCCCACCAGGGAAGCCAGCATGGTGCCTGCCACCAGTTACTGACTGTCCTTTCATGGCCTGGCACTCAAGGCCTGCCTAATCTAACCTGAGCCCACCTTCCAAATCTGAATCCTACCCAGTGTCCTTTTCACCACCCACAAACCTCCTGCACTCACTGTCCTCACGTCCTTCTGCTCTCCCCAGGCTTCATTGAATGGTTATAGACTACCTGTGCATGAGTCTGCCATGTCCAGGGCCTCTAGTAAGTGTTAGCTCCTCCTCCTTCACCCTCTTCCTTCTCTTTTTTTGTTTTTTGTTTTGAGACAGGGTTTCTCTATATAACAATCCCGACTGTCCTGGAACTCGCTGGCCTCAAACTCAGAGATCAGCCTGCCTCTACCTCCCAGGTGCTGGGATTAAAGGCATGCACCACAACCCTAGCTCCTTCACTCTTTGTTAAGCAGAAATTCCCCTTCCTGTGACAGGTACTTGAGCTCTCTGGCAATGACAACCCCTTTAAGAAAAAGCTAGAAAATTGGGTAGTGATGAGCAGAAGCAGTCAAGAGGCCGGCCCCTCTTCCACAAGAGGGCCTTGTGGAGACCAGGCTCCTCAGTGCATGCCAGCAAGGAGCAGCAACAGGAATGGAAGCTGCCATGTCTGTACCTTACCACCTGCCAGTCCTGAGCTGCCCGTGACCTGCACACCTCAACTAAAGAAGCAAAAGCACAGAGCGGTTGAGAGGTCTTCTCCAGGCTCATAGCTAGTAAAGCTAAGACTCCAATTCAGAACTTTCTGGATGTAGGGCTAAGCCCAGTCTTTCCAAATGAAAATGCCTCTTCAAAGACGTGCAAAATTTGAGCCACTAGCCACATTTCCCCTGACATCCGTGGCGAAAGCGAGGATGTCGGGAAAAATACCTCCTCTGAGATCAGGCATGGCTCCACCTGAGAACTGAACAGCAGAGTACCGAATCTATTCCGTGGTCAGTAGCTGGGGAAATACCAAGCAGTACAAGACTGTTTACCAGCAGACAAGGGACATGATGCCTCTAGGGGTTTAATGTTCTCAAATGTGGTGGTGGAGGGGAGACACTAAAGAGCTCTAGCCAGTGGAATGTCCAAAGTGCTCTGTCCCCAAAGGCTGATATGTTAGCATCTGCCCACACACAGCTTTTAAGCCAATGCAATGTGGTGCCACTGGGGAAGCAAGCATCTAACTGTGTTTAATTCTCAGTAGTTTCAATTAAAATAACTGCATGTGGCCAACCTCTACCATTATTGGACTGTGCAGCTCTGGAAAGGTTGACAGCACTTTGCCGATAATCTGTAGGGAATTTTTCAGAGTATTGATGGGCAAGGGAGCCCTGAAGGAAATAATACTCGTAAAGGCTTGGGAGCCTTTGAAACACATCAGACTGACTAGAAATAGAACCAGATAGAGTTTCACAGATTAGTGGGGAAAGCCATGGGTGTTGCATATTGGAGGCCTCAGAGGCACAGCTGAGGTGGCCATAATGACTTGACAGGCAGCACCCAATCTCTCAAGACTCCCTGCCAGGAGGGGCTTGATGAGAAGAGCTGTGCTTCATAAGACTGGTACCACCCATGTATTTGGGTCTTGGCTTAAATTCATCTTTTAAATGTCTTATTCTCCTGAGTGGTGTGATGTCTATGCCATGTGTGTGGAGGTGCCCACAGAAGCCAGAAGAGGGCATCAGGCAGACCACCAAGAGCTGGAGTTGCAGGCCACAGTGAGATGCCCAGTGTGGAAGCAGGGAACCCAGCTCAGCTCTTCTGGAAGAACAGCAATCACTCCAACTGCTGAGCCATCTCTCCAGCCCCTGTGGTTTCAGTGTGGCTCTCCCCAGGGTCTGTCCTTCACTCAGATGGACGCACACCTGTCACTCTAACTGCCTGCCTGCTTCTAGCTATCTCCTACAAAGATCTGTCTCTGGTTGTAATAGTGACCTATTGACCTTCCGTGTCTTTAGTCTTTAGCGCCACCTGCTTGACACAGTAGTGTCTCACTGTACACCTGTGGGCATTGAAGAGTACCCTCCCACAGATAGTTCGATATCTTTCTCAAAGCGAAACCCCGGCATCATCTGTTCCTCTGAGGCTCCACACCAGGAGAGAAGGCTGGGGTCCTCTGCGCTGAACCCTTGCTGGGGCCTCCCTCTCGAACATCCCCATTGACCCTTTTGTCTCTTTGGCCCCAAACTTTTCAGCCCATCCATGCAGAGGTGCGTCCCCTCGTCCCGTCTTTCTTCATGGAGTGTTGCAGACCTCCAAGTTGCACACCTGTGGCCCCTGCAGCCTCCTCGCTAGTGTGCTCTTTAAAAAATCAAGAATCCAGAGGCAGGTGGATCTCTGTGAGTTCAAGGACAGCCAGGACTACACAGAAAACCCCTGTCTCAAAAAAAAAAAAAAAAAAAAAAAAAATCAAGAATCAATAACATTTACCCCCACACACACACACACACATACACCTCACAGGAGGTTGTCAGTCTACAGGTCAACTATTACCACAGCTTCCTGGCACCCTGACACAAAGCCCGGAGTTCAGAATTCTTTGTTGGCTAAGTAAACAGCACCCTCTGCTTCCTCTTTGTCGTCCTCAGTGTGCCTAAAGGCATTCCTGTCATAACTGGCCATCACCAGTTTTCCCCATCTGCCTGACTCAGAACTGCCAGGTGGAGGTGCAGACTCTTGGTGCTGAGCCTGTCCAGTGTTACTTATGCGCCAAGGACCATTTGAGTAAGCTTTCTTGCCTTCTCGCTCTCCTAGGGTAGGTGGGTAGCTCCCCAAACGCGTGAACTTCAGCTTACTAGTGCTGTCCTTAATATGTACCCATAATGCTCATGATAAATAATTAGTAATGTAGCAAAAAATTAAAACAATAGGATGAGGGATATTAAATTAATGTTTTCAATGTTTGGGGAACTAAAAGTAGATACTAACTGAAAAGACATGGCTAACAGAATATGAAACCGGATCGCTGAATGTCTGTAACCGTTTGGTGTTATATGGTAGGTTGGAGGTCGTTATTTCATTAGTTACTTGGAAGTAGAATAAAAGCATGCCTTAAACAAGTGTCTGTGTATAGTAAAATATTCTACTAAATAGAGAAATGACAATCTGAACCTTTCTGTACCTTCTAAATTCTATACATCATTTTCCTTTTAAGCAAAGGTATTTTCTAAATTACATACTTATTGAGTGGTTATTATGCCTTTACTAGTTGAAGCATTGCTTGATTACATCCCCAAGGAAAAAATTCATGTACTTCATCTCTGTCTCTCCTTCCTCCGTTGTCCCTTCCTTCTTCTCTTCCTCCCTCCCTCCCCTTCTTTCTTCCTTCCTTCCTTGAAACTATATCCACCGGATTGGAGGCATATTGCTAAGCAGTGTTTATTAGCACTATCCACAAGTAGGTTAATATGTTTAAGCTACTGTAACAAAACACCCTACACTGTGCGATTTATAAACAACAAATGTCTCCCTCACAGTTCTGAAGACTGGGAAGTCTAAGATGAAGATCCTAGCAGACCAGTTTCTGCCAGATTCCTACGTCCTAGATAGTTGTCTTTTTCATTGTGATCTTGCTTGGTGAAGGGCCAAGGGAGCCCCCTTAGGGCCTCTTTGTAAGGACCCTGCCCTCATGATCCCTGCCCTTCCCAAAGGCCCCACCTTTGATGCTGGGGATTGTTTCAACATCGGAATTCTGTAGCAAACCGAGTGTTCAGACCTTCAGATGCAGTAGATAGTGTTAACAAGTCCACCACGCCCAGCTTGCGATGAACAGTTTACATGTTATACCATTTAAATCTCATTACAATCGCATTTTATGAATGGGAACACTGAGATGTTAGTTAATTGTTGATTGATTGCTAACTGCCTGGAGCTGGGCTGCCAAGTCAGGCCTAGCAAACCTCAGACCTCCTGCCTGCCCGGGCTGTTCCAGGACAGAAACCCATAACCACGTCACTGCCCTGTGTCCCTCCATGCTGTCTTCTGTCACCTTCCCCAGGCAGCCCCGCTGTGAGAATGACAACAAGTAACCCTCCCTGACCTCAGTTTCCTGCTTTGTTGTTGTTGCAGGAAGAGAAGTTAAACACCCAGAGAGGCCTAATGGACAAGCTCTCCGGCAGGTAAGCTGGCATTTTCCATCTCATGCTCTGTGGGGTGGTATGTTCCCTACACTTTCCGTTACATTCTATGTCACTCGGGATGGAGATTGTCTTTTGTTTCCTGCAACGCTGAAGCCAGCGGACAGAGCAAGCCCCGAAGTCTGTTTCTTTCTGGCTCGTTCAGATTTCAGTTCAATTGTGTGATTTAAAGGTTATTTTTTTACTGTTATTCTTGTTTTAACATTTTTTAATTCGTATTTTATTGTGTGTTTGTGTGTGTGTGTGCGTGCATGCGCGCACGCACCTGTGCTGTGTGGAAATCAAAAGACATCTTGTAGGAATCAGATCTCTTCTTGCACTATGTGAGGATTGATCTAGGTAGGCCTTGAAGCCTTGGCAAGGATGCACTTCCTTGCTCAGCCATCTTGACAGCCCTTCTCCACAGCTCCTTGAGATGATGATGATGATGATTTACTTTTATTGTTGGGAAGAGAATTTTAAAAGTGTGTGATGGGATAGAAAACCAACCAAGTCTTCACAGTGCGAGGGTTCTGCTTGCCCAAGGAGGGTGGGACATCTCCAGTGACATTCACACCCCCCCCCCAGCGTATTGGCTCTAAGTGTCATCCCAGGACTGGGCCCTCAGCCTGCTAGGAATTTGTCAAGAACGCAGCTTATTTAGGCCTCACCGGTGACCCCTGAATCAGAAGCTACCCACAATTCCCAGCCCTCAGATGACACTAGTGTCAGTCGTGTGAGGGGCGAGGCCCCGGGTTACACCTTCTATTACAGTTTGAATATGAAACAAATTCCTCAGGCTTGTGTGCTGAAGGCTTGGTACCGACCCAGCTGGGTGGAGGTATTAGGGGATGTATGGATGTTTTAGGAAGAAACTCTTAGCAGGAGGAAGAAGGACACTAGGGGCATGTCCTTGGAGACTCTATTTTACAGTGCCACCTTCCTCTCTCTGCATCCTGGATGCTTTTTGGCACATGCTTCCACAACCATATTCTGTCTCACTTCATGCCCAGAACAGTGGATCAGCTAACCCTGTCATGGCTTGGCTCTTGGAATCCAGTTGCAGACAGGGAGGAGTGATGAGCAAAGGGGTCAAGACCAGGCTGGAGAAATCCACAGAAACTGCTGACCTAAACAAGGAAAAGCTTGTGGACTCCAGTCTGACAGCTGGGAAACCAGCATAGGACCAACCCAAACTCCCTGAATGTGGTGTTAGCTCGGAGGAGTGAGCAGTCTGTGGGGCATCTGGTGGTGGATCAGTATTTATTCCTAGTGTACAAATGGACTTTGGGAGCCCATTCCACATGTGTCTAAATTAGAGAGGCAGATATAGACAGACAGACAGACATGGACTCCCACTCCAGGTCAGCCTGGAACTTAACTGTGTAGCTCAGGTTAGCCTCGAACTCAAAGGCTGATCCTCCTTGCTCAGCCTCTGGCATCTTGGAGCTGCAGGCATGAGCCACACCACACCTGGCTAGTCATCGATTTTTATACTTTTCTCTCTTGCTGGACTATAAACTGTCTTTGGATCCCTGGTATCAAGTTGAGGACTCGGGTGGTCAGGTAGTACAGGTCTCCCTCCATGTGCTGGCCATTGATAGAGCGTCTTTCACCCCGAAGATACTCAGGCCTCTGAACTGTGTTCATTATTTTCAATTCAAAATTATTTTTACTGTAATTTAGAAACATCCTAGAAGTACATTTTTTTTTCTTGACCTTTCACCATGCTCCCTTCTTGGGTCCATTAAACACAATTATACAGTTAAGTGGGAGAGTGGGGTGTCTCATCTCAAAGATTCCTTTTGGCTTGGATACTGAATTAATCAGCTTGGGCTGACACAATAATATTCCACCGAATGGGTACCTTACACAACACACATGTGTTCTTCCATAGCTCCCAATGGAGGCGTGGAGAGATTAACCTAGTCTGTCCTTGTCTCATGGCTGGCAGCCCTCATGCTGACCTCACACAGCAGCTCGTGGAGGATGGGCTCTCTCCCTTTCTCTCCCCCTCCCTCCCCTTAACACCCAGAAAGGCCTCCAGTCCTACCTGATAGATCACTACCCTTATGAGCCCATGCAACCTCTGAAAAATCTCATCTCCAAAGTCAATCGATTAGACTGGATGAGAGCTTCGGTAAGTTAATTTCAGGTACACACTTTGGTCTGCATCAGTCACTACAGGACTCTGGGAATCATGCTTTGTTTATTCCAAGCCTGTGGCCATGTGTCATTGTACTTTTGTAGCCTTTATGACTGTTACCTGAGCTTCTCCCCACGCCGCTTCCCCTAAAATGTCCCCGTTGTTTGCAAGGCTTGGCTTTTCCCGAATGCCTCAGGGCTCCTCCATAGTTTCCGCCCTCTCCCAGGTAAAGCTGATTGATTACCAAAAGGAGACAGACCCTGTGTTGGGGGGGACACACCCCGATGCCCATGTGGTTTCTGGGTGGATGTGGCAGAAGAATCAACACCTGTGTCTATTCGGTGTCTAAGAGACTAAGCGCCCAGCAGTTGAGGGTCATGACAAGAGCTAGCATATATCAAGAACTCACCATGCAAGCACACTCTGCCAGGTGCCTCAGTGTTCCACTGCTGTGAAGAGACACCATGGCCAGGGGCAACTCTTATAAAAGGAAGCATTTAATGGAGCTTGCGTACAGTTCCAGGGGTGTGGCAGGGAGCATGGCAGCGCACAGGCAGACACAGTGCAGGAGGAGCTGTGAGCTCTACATCTGGATCCTCAGGCAGCAGGAAGAGGGAGGCAGACATTGGGCCTGGCTTGAGCTCTTGAAACCCCAAAGCCCACCCCCACGGTGACATACTTCTTCCGACAAGGCTCCTTAACCCATCTCCCTAAGGACCACACATTTAAATACACGGGCCCATGGGGTCATTCCTATGCAAACCACCACACCAGGCTTATCATGTGTGTTTGTATGGAGTCACCTTCAGAACAACCCTATAAGGCTGGATGTTACTCCTCTTTCCCCACCTGAGGTTGGGGGGAGATTCGTGGCGAACTCAAGGCCACCCAGCGTCTAACAACCGGCTCCAGAGCCCAGTGCCTCACTATGATATGATCTCACCTATGACAGCCGACCATCGTCTGTGCACCACTTGTAGAGCCTCTCCTCCTCTTCCAAGCCCCACTAAGAAGCAGCATGTTGCTTCCCTTTCTCTGCCATCTCTCCCAGAGCACCTCACTTATGAAGCTATAGTGTAGGTCTCACATAAATCTAGCGGGTCTCCACTCCCGTATACCCGCTGGGTGTGACACAATCCAACCAACTTCCTGTGCTAGCTGCACCAGATGCCACAAGTTGAGGACCAAAGCCACAAGAGTGGCCCCCAGTTCACATCCTGGTTACACACCTGAACCCTGAACTTGCAGTCAAGCAGCCATAAATCGGGGTCTTCAAGGTACCCTCCTTGGAACTCAATAGTTTGTTTGCTTGGCTCACGGAACTGAGAGAAATTACTGGGTGAGCAGCCAGACAGTGCAGAATAAGGCAAGGTCGAAAAGGGCCCTAAGAGCTGAAACTTCTGCCCTATGGAGTTGAGGAGCATCATACTCCCAGCACACAGGAACATTTATGCACTACACAGGGGTACGGGAACATTTATACACTTTTTGGCAAACTCTACTGCCTGTGGGGTTTGCAGAGTTCACACTTGATCTAATTTCCAGTATCTACCATCACCTCTAATGCGTGCATATACATACACAGGGACAGAAAGACACACAGAGCAGAGGGGTGGAGAGAGAGGCAGAGAGACAGAGAGAGATATCAGTGGATGATATTGAACCAACCAGAGCTTCTATTTGTTGCTGTGGTGACGGTAGTAACATCCTGAGGCTATCTAGGGAACCCAACCTAGATCATCTCAGTAGCATAAACTCAAGTGTGGTCAGCAGGGTTCCTTATGTCAAGAGACCACTAGGACTCGGGAAACCCCAGGGGCTTTTGGAGCTCTATGCCAGGAACCAGAGACAACGATCAAATCGGTTTTTACCATGACTCCCTATATGATTTTATGTGCACCTTGACTAGCCATTCTGGTGAAACAGCCTTAGAAGTAAAATTGACCATAAAAAAAAATTAAGGGGGTGGGGGTGGCTGGAGAGATGGCTCAGAGATTAATAGCAATGTCTGCTCTTCCAGAGGTCTTGAGTTCAATTCCCAGCAACCATATGGTGGCTGATAACCATCCATAAGGGGATTTGATGCCCTCTCCTGGCCTGCAGGTGTCCATGCAGACAGAGTAAATAAATAAATAGTAAAAGGCGATCTCTGATGGGTCAAATAAGCAGACACACTGCAAAGACTAGCCAAGCTGAGTTTGCTTTGTGACTTATATCAGGAGCCAGGCGTGTAGCACTTGCCTATAAAACTAGCACTTGGGAGCCTAAAAGAGGAGTGTCCTGAGTTCAAGGCCAGTCTTGTCTACATAGTAGGATCATGTCTTTAAAATAAATATAAATGATAAAGTATATCAAAGAACCCCATTTGAACTATCCATGTTAAGTGGGGGGGGGAATTATTTTTCTCTCAGATTTTTACAAACTGTCTCAAGAAAACTATCCTCTGAAAACAAATTCTGCCAGGTGCACCAGTCAATGGTCCCAAAGATGTAATGCCAGCTAGGGTGTCATATCCTGGGTCTCTACCTAAAGCTGTGCTGTCACCACCATGCCACAGTGGCTCTCTCTAAACATACGGATGTCACTGTCATTTTTCTAGCCCAGGTGGCAGAAATTTGGGGAAGCAGCTAATACCACTGATGAAAGTTCATGGTGGTGATATATGAGGTTATTTGGTGATTAGCTGGGCTCTCTATCAGAGCTAGCTCTTTGTATGACTTCCTCAGCAGATGCAGTTGGCTCTTTGTGTCTGTGGGGTTTGCATCTATGGATTCTGCCACCTGCTGATGACAAAAAGTATTTAGGAGAAGCTGTTACACAGCGGTTGACACATACCATGTAGTTATGCCTCCAATGG